GGAATTGAATCTGGGTCACTGGTGAGAACAACAAATGTTCTTAACTGCCCAGGATTTTTTTTTTTAATTATGATTACATTTATTTATTTTGTATGTAGTGGGCATACATGCCGTAGTGTACATGTGGTAGTCAGAGGACAATTCCTGGAGTCTGTTCTCTTTTTCTACCATGAGGGTTCCAGGAATTGAACTCAGACCTCAGGTCATCAGGCTTGGCAGTAAACACATTTACTCACTGATTCGTGTGTGTGTGTGTGTGTGTGTGTGTGTGTGTGTGTGTGTGTGTGTGTGTTTGTGTGTGTGTCTCTGTGTCTGTTTGTCTGTGTCTCTGTGTGTGTGTACATGTGTCTGTCTGTGTTCCTGTGTATGTGTCTGTGTGTGTGTGTGTGTGTGTGTGTAAGAGTGTGTCTGTGAGTGTGTGTCTGTCTGTCGCCTGGGGTGTGTGTGTGTGTGTGTGTGTGTGTGTGTGTGTGTGTGTGATGTTGGGTGTCTTTCCTACATTGCTCTTCATCTTCCTTTTGGGGATAGGTTCTCTCACTGAACCTGGAGCTCTCTGATTCAGCCAGCGGGGCTGGCCAGCAGGTCTCTGGGATCCTCCTGACTGTACAGGTGTGTGCTGCTCCCCCTGACTTTTTAACATGAATTCTTTTTTTTTTTTTTTTGGTTTTTCGAGACAGGGTTTCTCTGTGTAGCTTTGCGCCTTTCCTGGAACTCGCTTTGGAGACCAGGCTGGCCTCGAACTCACAGAGATCCACCTGGCTCTGCCTCCCGAGTGCTGGGATTAAAGGCGTGCGCCACCACCGCCCGGCTTTAACATGAATTCTTATGCTCTGAGCTCAGGCCCCGGTTTCCGGCCAGGTTTCCGGCCAGCGCTGTGCCAACTGAGCTCTCTCCCCATCTGGTTTTTTTTTTTTTTTTTTTTTTCAGTACTGCGGATTGAACACAAGGTGTCCTTCATGCTAGGCAAGCGCTCTACCATTGAGCTATCCCAGTAGTTCTGACACTGTGGTCCTGCTGCCCGGTTTAGAATACGAGCAGTTTCCATTCCACAGACCTCCGCACCAGACATCTTCCCTGTTGCCTCTGTGAAAGACCATCTATTCCAAGACTGCGGGTCTCAGCTTTTTTTTAGTTTCAGGATCTTTAAATAGGGGGCTTGAAGACTTTGGTAATGTAGGTAATATCTCAATGTGTACTACATTCAAAATGAAAACCAAGGAGCTCAGGACACTGGTCTTGCACGTTCGAGGCCCCGGGTCCAACTCCTAATACTGAATTAAAAACAAAGTAAAAATGAAATAGTAACAGCTAATCACTGTTATGAAAAGTAACTTTTTCAGGGCTGTGGGTACAGATCTGTGGTGGAGTTTTGCCACTGATGTGCTCAGGCCTTGGGTTTGATCCCTAGCACTAATTTAAAAAGGAAAAATTTCTATAGTAAAAGAAAAGGTAAGAATCATTTAATTTCTCTTTATTCAGATCTCTGCGATACTAGTTTAGAAGATCCTCATCAGTCTGTCTTCATACACTGTTTTGTTGTGGAAAAAATTAGGAAAATCTGACTTTAATCCTTTTATTCATTTATTCATTTTGTTTTTTTGAGACAGGGTTTCTCTGTGTAACAACTCTGGCTGTCCTGGAATTTACTTTGCCTCTGTAGACCAGGCTGGCTGCAAACTCACAGAGGTCCACCTGCCTCTGCTTCCCGAGTGCTGGGACTAAAGGTGTGCGTCACCAACCTCCCCTCCCCCATTTGATCCCTATTTGAAGGGGACTTTGAGGATTTTCAATGGATCTTTTTGCTGTTCTCTGTGAACTCTGCATGACAATTGGCCAAAGCTTAGTTATGATGCAGGGTTCAAACCATAACTATTCCCAGCTCTCAGCAGAGGCTCAGGAGACACTATTTAAAGAAAACAAACTGTATCCTGAAAATTTTGTATATGTTGTGCTTTGCTTATTTTACAAAGTGCTTGACCTTACAAGGTCATCCATATTTAGGTATTGGGAAGTTGGCAAGGTTACTGTAGTAGATATCAAGTTAAAAAAAAAATTGGAGGAAGTTGATACAGGATCAGCCAGGGTAGTCTTAAACTTACTGCAAAGCCCAGATTGGCCGTGAATCTCCCAAGTGCTAAGATTAAAGTTGTGTACCTGGATTTTTTATTATTATTATTATTATTATTATTATTATTATTTTTTTTTTTTTTTTTTTTTGGTTTTTCGAGACAGGGTTTCTCTGTTTCTCTGTGTAGTTTTGCGCCTTTCCTGGAACTTGCTTTGTAGACCAGGTTGGCCTCAAACTCACAGAGATCTGCCTGGCTCTGCTGGGATGAAAGGTGTGCGCCACCACCGCCCGGCTATTATTATCTTTTGATAGAGAGTCTGAATGGTGTTTCCCAGGCTAGCTCTGAATCCCTGGACACTGGTGATTACTTTCCCTATTTTTCAGGTGAAAATTCAAGCTTTTTAAGTTACAGTAATATAGTTAACTTCTTTGAAGAGATCTGTTTCTTTCTCTCTTTATGTATATATGTGTATATATATATATTTATTTATTTATATATATATTTATTTTAGGAACTCTTTTTTTTTTTTTTTAAAGATTTATTTATTTAGTATACAGCATGTATGACTGCAGGTCAGAAGAGGGCACCAGATCTCATTACAGATGGTTGTGAGCCACCTTGTGGTTGCTGGGAATTGAACTCAGGACCTCTGGAAGAGCAGTCAGTGCTCTTAACCTCTGAGCCATCTCTCCAGCCCTCTTTTTTATATTATTAAAAAAAAATTAAGCCCAGCAGTGGTGGTGGTGCATGCCTTTATTTACAGTACTCAGAGGCAAAGGCAGGCAGATCTCTGTGAGTTCGAGGTCAGCCAGGACTACATAGAGAAAACCTGTCTTGAAAATCAAAAAAAAAGAAAGAAAGAAAGAAAAGAAAAATTAGCATATTTATGTGTATAAATGTTTTGCCTACATGTATAGATACCACATGCATTCCTAGTATTGAAGGAGGCCAGAAGAGGGTGTTGGATCCCCTGGTACTGGAGATACAGGGGATATGTGCTTGTGTGGGAACCAAGCCCTGGTCCTCTGCAAGAGCAGCGATGATTAGCCACTGAGCCATCTCTCCAGCTCATCACCTGGTTCATTTTTGAGAGACTATCCCTCAAATATGCCTGAGTCAGCATAACCCATTTCTCTATCTCTGTGGTGTTTTGTTTTGTTTTGTTTTTTAATTGTTTTTTGTTTTGAGTCAGGTTCTGTGACTCAAGCTGGCCTTGAACTAGCCTTATAGCCCTGCCTGACCTTGAACTTTGAATCTGACCCTTCTGTCTCTGCTTCACAGAGCTGGGATTGCAGATGTGTACTGCCATGCCTCATATAATGTCTACCAGTCTTTTGCTAAAAGGAGTATTCTGGCCAACTCTTGAGAAGCTAAGCTATGCTAAGCTAGAGCAGGCCATTTTCCTAAGCCTTTCTCTTAAGAGCTGTCCTTAAATCTATAGTAAAACTCTCTTTCTTTTCTTTGTCGTCTCTCCCCCACAAATCCCATTCCCCCGTCCCACCCCCACTCCCCTATTGAGATGGGTTTTCTCTGTGTAGCCCTGGCTGTTCTGGAACTCACTCTGTAGACCAGGCTGGTCTCAAACTCACAGAGATCCGCCTGCCTCTGCCCCCTGAGTCCTGGGATTAAAGACGTGTGCCATCATGGCAGAGAACTCTTAAATTAACTCCCAGCTGCGCTTTAAAAAAAAAAAAAATTGCTCTATGGGGCGTGGTGCACATTTTCAATCCCAGCACTGAGAGGCAGAGGCAGGCCTGAGTTTGAGGCAAGCCTGCTCTACATAAAAATGTTCCATGCTAAAAGCTAATTCATCGCATACCTCTAAACAATAATAGTCCAAAGGGGACATTCTTCCTGCTCAGCATGATGAAAGGCCCACTTTAGAAACACGTGGGTGTGATTAAGGACTTCTGTTTAATAAAATGTGTTCTCAAGGGCATTCTTCGAAGGCACCAGGGGGAAGAACATGACTTCTGGTATAATTAGATACTGTTGCCTTTATCGGAAAGATAGGTTCCCACGCTGTAGCCCAGGCTGGCTTGGAATTCACTTTGTAGTTTGTGCTGGGAATATAGGAGTAAGCTATTACTCCCCATCAGATAACACAGTTCTATTCAAATGAGAAGACGGCAAACCAGGCCGGGCAGTGGTGGTGCACACCTTTAATCTCCAGTGCTTGGGAGGCAGAGGCAGGCAGAGCTCTGTGAATTTGAGGCCAACCTGGTCTATAACGTGATTTCCAGGACAGCCAGGGCTGTTACATAAAGAAACCCTGTCACACAAAAAAGCAAAATCCAGCTGGGCGGTGGTGGCGCATGCCTTTCATCCCAGCACTCTGGAGGCAGAGCCAGGTGGATCTCAGTGATTTTTTAACTTTCGTTATATCAGTTAAGCCAATAGATGCTCTAAGGTAGGCACTCCCTTTCTGCAGGGGAGAAGGCAGAAGCCAGAAGGTGAAGTGCTTTGCCAGATCCATACCAGAACCGGGATTCAAAGTTCCAGAGACTATGCTTTTCCTCAGACTCACGGACTAAACAAAGCCAAGGTAGCAATTAGAGGTTATGTCTCCTGGAGAAGTACCAGTAAAAGGACGTTACCTCTAGGACAGTGGTTCTCGACCTTCCTAATGCTGCCTGCGACCCTTTAATGCTGCCGAGGTGACTTCCAATCATAAATTTATTTTCGTTGCTTCTTCATAACTGTGATTTTGCTATTGTCATGCATTGTAGTGGAAATATCTGTGTTTTCCCATGATCTCAGGCAATCCCCCCCCGTGAAAGGGTTGTTCGGCCTCAAAAAGGGTCACGACCCACAGGCTGAGAACCACTGCTCTGGGAAGACGGTGTAAGAGTACACAGGGCATCCACCATTATTGGGTATCATATAGGCATCTTGTTCTGACCTCTGACCTCTGCCCTCTGCCCTGTCAGGATGACTTCTCGGGATCAGCTGGTGCAGCAGGTGCTGCGGGATCTGCAGGAGGCAGTGGAGTCCGAGGGCCTGCAAAGTCTCACCAGTGCCGCCGTGGAGGCCAAGCAGGTCCTGTCTTCCTTCACCCTCCCCATCTGCCAGAAGGGTGGCCCTGGGCCCCAGGTGCTGGAGGTGGACTCTGTGGCCCTGAGTCTGTACCCAGAGGATGCCCCTCGGAACATGCTGCCCCTGGTGTGCAAGGGCGAGGGTAGTCTGCTGTTTGAAGCAGCCAGCATGCTGTTGTGGGGGCACACCGGCCTCAGCTTGGAGCTGCGGGCCCGCACTGTGGTAGAGATGCTGTTGCACAGGCACTATTATCTCCAGGGCATGATCGACTCCAAGGTGATGCTGCAGGCTGTACGCTACTCCCCTGTGCTCCGAGGAGTCCCCCGAGATGACCAGCCTGTCTTCCGCCACGCTGGAGGCCATCTTTGATGCAGATGTCAAGGCTACGTGCTTCCCTACCAGCTTCTCCAACGTGTGGCACTTGTACGCCCTGGCCTCCATCCTTCAGCGCAATATCTACTCCATCTACCCTATGCGCAACGTCAAGATCCGACCCTATTTTAACCGCGTTATCAGGCCTCGCCGCTGCACCCATGCGACCTCCATGTTGCACATCATGTGGGCTGGCCAGCCCCTCACTAACCACCTCTTCCGCCCCCAGTATTTTGCCCCCGTGGTTGGGTTGGAAGAGGTGGAGGCTGATGGTACTGCTACCCTGAACCCCACTCCTCCGGTCCTGGGTTCTCTGCGACCACCAGCCGAAACCCTGGAGCTGCTCAACCGGGAGCCTGGCCTCAGCTACTCCCACCTCTGTGACCGCTCCGGCATCACCAAGAGCACCTTCTACCGCTGGCGGCGGCAGACCCAGGAGCACCGGCAGAAGGTGGCCACCCGCTTCTCTGCCAAGCACTTCCTGCAGGACAGCTTCTACCGTGGGGGCCTTGTGCCACTGCAACAGTTCCTGCAGAGATTCCCTGAGATCTCCCGTTCTACCTACTATGCCTGGAAGCATGAGCTGCTGGGCTCTGGTGCCGATTCAGCCTTGGTCCCGGCTGCTCCACCCGGGGAGGCACTGGCTGGGCCCGAGCTGGAGAGCCTGCCAGGGAAGAAGGCTGCTGAGGGACTGGGGCGCTCCTCCCTGGCGGCGGGGGTGTCAAGCCCTAGCGTGCTCTTCATGCAGCGCGCCAAGTCGTACCTGGAACACTGCATCTCTCTGAACAAACTGGTACCCTATCGCTGCTTCAAATGCAGGTTCCCTGGCATCTCGAGGTCCACCTACTACAACTGGAGGCGGAAGGCCCTCAGGAGGAGCCCCAGTTTCAAGCTGGCCCCAGCCCTTGCAACCGCTGAGTCTCTACCCCCAACAGATGTTGGGGACAGGGCCCTGCTCCCTTTGAAGGATGAGGTGGGAGAAGAGGGGACAGGGAAAGCAGGAGGTGGAGGCCCTCCTGTTTCCCAGGGGCTCGTTTCCACAAGGATGCCCCTGTCTCGTTGGCAGAGGCGACTACGCAGGGCCGCCCGCAAGCAGGTGCTGAGCGGGCACCTGCCTTTCTGTCGCTTCCGCCTCCGCTACCCTAGCTTGTCACCCTCCACTTTTTGGGTATGGAAAAGTCTTTCCCGGGGATGGCCCAGGGTGCAGGCCTCCTCTTTGGGCCAAAGGAGCCAGGAGCCAGATGAAGGGCAGGGGTCAAATGAATGGCAGGAGATGGAAGCTGTTGAGAATGTATCAAATGAGTGGCCGGAGATGGAAGCCGTTAAGAAGGTAACATCTGCCGTGGTTCCTCAGGTGGAGACCCTGCCAGAAAACACTCCAGAAGATGCCCAGGGAGGGCCTTCTCGAGAAGGGGTCATTCAGGAGACACCTATGACCCAGGGCCAACCCCACAGTGGATTCCTGTCAAGCCAGACTGTGGCAGCGGCAGCAGGTGGCAGGGATGGCCAGGTGCTGGTGATGGACATGCTTACCACCACCAGGTTCAAGGCCCAAGCCAAGCTGTTCCTACAGAAGCGCTTCCAATCCAAGACTTTCCCCTCCTACAAGGAGTTCCAAGCTCTCTTCCCCCTCACTGCCCGCTCCACCTACTACATGTGGAAGCGGGCGCTCTTTGAAGGCCTCACGCTGGTTGATGGCTGATGAAGGGGAGACCTGAGTTGTCCCCTGACTTGGCCAGGATGCCCTTTACTCTTCCATAATTTCCCGGCTTGGGATGGAAATGTGGAAGTCAGCCACCTATTCTAACGAAAGCTACAGGAGTGTCGATGGACTCTTCGGGTGTTGGCTCGTCATATATTTTTTATTGTGTTTAGTATTTTTTTTTCCATTAAAGTGGGTTGGCAGGACCCCCTTGCCAGTGGAAGTCATGATTGTGCCCAAGCCCTCTGCAGCTTTTCCTGGGCCCACAAAGAGTATTACAGCATGGCCATGTATCTTCTGTCAGGCAGAATATAGCTTTACTTTTTTTAGGGTGATGTCCTTTTTTCCCAAAGATGTCTTCTAAAGAAACAAGAAAATTGAGTATGAGGCAGGTGTGTGGCTTTGTCTCCTGCCCCCAGGGGAGAAGGTGCCAGACTCTTCATCATCATCATCATCATCAGCTGGACTTCATAGAACAAACCATGGTAGCTTCTAATCTGGAGAAGGCCCCTAGGCACTGGAGACCCTGGAGAGGAAGGCCTGTTCCCTCTCTTGGGGAAGAGGTCTCTGCCAGTCCTCGCCAGCCTGGCTGGCTGTTGAGTCTCATCCTTGGCAAGGAGCCACAAGGTTATAAAGGCTGATGGGTGACTGAGTTTTCATTGTCCAACAGCAAAGTTGGACAACCAAAGAAATAAAGTGATGCCTTGCTCACACACTGCCCGAAGTCTCTGGGATTTGTTTGGCTAAGATGTGACTGCCTGTTCCCAGGCGCCCTTTTGGCTTAAAGGGGGTTGGGATACCATTTCTGTCTTCTGATAGTACATGCTTGAGACCAAGGCTTACTGGTGGTAGGACTCTGGTAGGAATTGGACCTAAAGTGACAGTTTGGTCTGGCTGAATAAGACACTTTTTCCTCCACATATGAGGTGTGTCAGGCAAGCTGGGCCCAGCCACAGATGAAGGCTTTTGTCTACTGAGCTGAGGAGAGATTCTCTTAGGTCCTCTCATAGTTTCCTGTAGCCGCCTGGGTTCCGCCTGTTACTTAACCCCACATCCAACCCTGTTAACTGTGTGGTGCTAGGAGTGGAATCCAGGGCCTTGTGCACACCAGTCAGATGGTCCATCACTGAGTCATCCCCAGACCCGTTTTTACCTAAATTCCAAGTTCTATTCAGGATCTCCCTTCCTTTTGTTCCGCTGCCCACAACACAGCTCCCTCCTTCCCCTCCCACATGATCCCATCTCCGGAGGGATTTTGATGACATTAGATCATGTCACTGTCCTGTCTTTGGCCTCCTTTCCTCACAGAATCCCTTCCTTTGAGAAGGGCAGTGTAAAGTGGCCCCGGCTCACTCTCCTCTGTACCATGCTTGCGATGGCCCACTGTTCCTGTCACATTGGCTGTCCCCAATGCTGAACATGTGTCCTCTTTTTCTGCTCGGGGGCTTCACATATTTCCTTCCGTCTAAAATGCTCTTCCTCCTCTTCCTCTTCACTCCTTCCTCTCCTCGTTTTCCCCTCAATCCCTGTCTTTCCCCTTCCTTTTAAAATGAGTTCGTTTTAAACACTATGTAACCGTGGCTATGTAGACCAGGCTGGCTTTGAACGCAACAGAGATCTGCCTGCCTTTGCCTCCTGGGTGCTGGATTCAAGTTCTGCATCACCCAGCTCTTCACACCTTAGCATCCGGTATGGGGGGATTGCAGGTGTACAACACCACAGCCCATTTCAACGCTTTCTCCGTTATCTGTGCAGCAGACCTGTATCCCGGAGTCACTCTAGCCTCGCTCTTGAATTCTCTAGTGGGGTCTCGTTTCTCTTGCGGCTTTCTTGTTTGGTTGCCTGCGTTAGCGTACAGGCTGTATGAAAAAAAACGTTTGTATTTTTCTTTTGCTTACAGCACTGAATTCTACACACGGGAGGTGCTAATATTTGAAAAGAGAAAGAATGGAATGAAGTTTTAAAGCCTCTCTTACTGTTAATCCTGTGAGATCTGGTTTTTGCAAACCTAACCAATGTCTTAACTGTTTCTCACAGGCCAGTTCTTCCCCCCCCCCCCCCCCCCCCCCCCCCCGTCTCTGCGGCTCCCCGTAGTCTGTGCCAGCACCAGATTGCCTTGATATTGTATTGTTTTCCAAACCGACTCTGCCCTCCACTTGATCTATTACTTCTTCCTGATGAGGTCTAGAATAATTTTACCTGAATCTGATTCACTGCTGGTTTTCCCATTGCCCTCAGCACAGATTCCAAACTAGTGGGGCTCACTGGAGTCCAGCCCCTACTTAATCTAACTTGCAGTAGCAACTTCTAGCCAGCAGGTGGCAGTCCAGTGCAATCCATTTTGGCCATGAGGTAGCCCCAAGGTCCCTTCTGAGAATGTAAGTGCTGAAACTACATTTTCTTGCACACACTCGGCACCAGAACAGGCCCTTTGAGCCTGGGAACAGAGTCTCCTAGTGGGACCTAAAAAACATCATGGGATTTTGGATGCAGCTCAATGGATAACCACTTACCCAGTATGGGTGATGCCCTGGGTTCAATTCCCAGTACTGACACCAAAACACATTTATGGGTTGCTATTTAGAGGAAAGGGGGAGGGCTAGTCAGGGATGTGGATTCCAGGGCCCCATCCAGATCTACTCATTCCCACCGTAGACATTCGTGTGTCTACTTTTTCCCATTTGAAGACAGGATCTCAGTCATACGGTATGGTAGGCATGTAAGAGTTAGGTGAGTGATCTATGGAGGTCCCTTGGAGTCTGATTTCTGTTTGAGGCAGGGAGGGTAGGCAGATGCCTGGGATGCTTGCTCGGTCTCCAGTCCTGAGATGGAACGATCATTTCATCCATGTCCAGTGTGGAGCCTTAAACCTGCAGCAGAAATTTTAGCTTCTGTTTCAGGGAGGCAGGAATGCAAAGAACATGTCAGTATCACTGGAAAATGACTGTCTGCAGGGTTCAGTTTTACTACTGTGCTGAAGAACTGTTTCCTTTGTAACGTGCCTTTCAAGGCAAAGGTACCTAAGCTGTGTTCATACTTGTCAATAATGTTCACACTCAGGTGTCACTATGTAGCACTGCCTGTCCTGGAACTTGACTATGTAGACCAGGTTGGCCTCGGACTTGCAAGACTGCCTCTGCGCTCCCAAGTGCTGGGACTAAAGGCGTGCGCCACCACTGCCCAGCTTCATGATGGTTTTGAGACTGACATTTGTTGAAATTATTTGTGTTTTTTTTGGTGCCACTTTTCATCCTGGCTGGATACCTATGAAGAAAAAAAAATTGAGAGCAACATTCTGTGTGGCTCTAAGGGCAAGTTTTATTTTATTTAAATTTGCTATTTTATATGTTTGGGTGTTTTGTCTGCATGTATGTCTGTGTACCGCATGTGCACCTGGTCCCTGAAGAGGCCAGAAGAGGGCGTCAGATCCCCTTGGACTGGAGTTGCAGACAGTTGTGAACTACCATGTCGGTGTTGGGAATGGAAGCCTTTGGAAAGACAACCAGTGCTCCTAACTGCTGAGCTATCTCTGAGCTATCTCTCCAGCCGCCTTTTAAATATAAAAGTTTTCCATCATTCCAGAGGCAGAGGCAAGCGGATCTGAGCTTGAGGTCAGCCTTCAAGTGGATCTCTGTGAGCTGTAGGCCAGCCAGGGCTATGTAATGAGCCTGGCTGAAAAAACTCACCCTAGGTCAGATGGGATGGCTCAGTAAGGGCACTGGGTCCTGAGTCTCAGGACCTGAGTTTGGTCCTTGAGATCCACAGGATGGAGAGAGCTGACTCCTACAAGTTGTCTTCTGGTCTCCACAGGAATGCCCGTGGCACACACCTACAAACACAGCAATGAACAAATGTAATTTAAAAATTTAAAAACCAGACTAAAGAAACATGATTCATTTCCCTCTTATTTCTACATTTCCCACTGAGGAGATCAGTCTCTGTGGAGATTCTTGTCTGTCCGGGCACATGATTTGCTGCTCAAATGTTTCTCGAGAACCAGCCGGGTGTGGTGGTATGTGCCTGTAATCTCAACCTATGGGAAGCTGAGGAGGCCAGCCTGGGCTACATAGACAAGGATACCTCATCCAAAAAAAAAAAAGGCTAAGAAAGAAAGCCTGTCCCTGGATTTTAGTACTTGTGATATTCTGCCACTCCAGGTTCATTCCCCGTCCTCACTAAGTCACTCTTCTATGGGTAACCTGCTCTATCTATGGGTAACCTGCTCTATAGCATCCAGCTATCAGCTGAGCTGGCCAGGGGCTGGGTTAGCTATTTCTCCATTCCAAGATTACCAAGAATCCTTTGTTTAGTCCATCTTAGCCCTCTCCACTGATACCGGGTCCCACCTATGGGCCACTGGTTGTCCTGTTGTCTGTGGGCTGAGGTGCAGGTCAGTTGTCTTACTCCAGGGGGATATAATCCATTCTCACCCAGGGACCTCGGGACCTCTGATAGCTCAGGAGAGTCACTTGACTTCATTTCCTCTAGGGTTGGCGTGTCACATAGCTTTCTTTCTTTTAATATTTATCTTTATGTGGGCTGGAGAGACGGCTCAGAGGTTAAGAGCACTGGCTGCTCTTCCAAAGGTCCTGAGTTCAATTCCCAGCAACCACATGGTGGCTCACAAGCATCTGTAATGAGATCTGGTGCCCTCTTCTGGCCTGCAGGCATACATGCAGGCAGAACATTGTATACACAATAAATAAATCTTTAAAAAATATTTATTTTTATGTGCATTGGTGTTTTACCTGTCTGTGTGAGGGTACCATATACCCTGGAACCGAAGTTACAGACAGTTGTGAGCTGCCATGTGGGGTCTGGGAATTGAACCCAGGTCCTCTGGAAGAGCAGGCGGTGCTCTTAACCACTGAGTCATCTCTCCAGCACGTAGGTTTCTATATGAAATGTGCAAGCTGGTTTTGCCTGGTAGCTGGGTTCATCCTGATCATGACCCAACCTATAGCTGTTTTGGAGGCTGAGGTGAGGTGGGGGTGGAGCAC